GTGTGTGTGTGTGTGTGTGTGTGCGCGCGCCTGCCTTCTGCTTTAACTGCAGGAGGTGGATTGGGGTTGCCAGGTGCTCCAGATACAGTAACCTTCATCACTTCTCTGGTCTAATGTTTATACAGTCAGCCTTTTTCACCTCTTTTCCAGTCTGCAGACTCTGTGACGTTTTTAGTTGTAAAAACTGTCATTTCAWAGAKTTTAATCATGTTGTTTTGTTCTTTCTTCTCCCGGCCGGTACCATCATTTTCCCCCCCAAACCTGACCCGTCTACGATTAAACCTGCTTTGAATCAGGGTAATGTTAAACAAACATTATTCATGAAGACTCACCCATCATTAAAATCAGCTAAAGCCTTCAGCTAATTATAGAGTTATTTCTTAAAGGAAAGTATCGGCTGCAACCTTACCTTCCATAGTTTAAAAAAACTCAAGATTATGAGTTGGAAATGACTCTCAGCTACTACCACATCAAACATTAGCTCAATATCTGTAAAGTTGTCTGAAGTACTGTAGTACCTTCTTGTGTTTGCTAAAATTTCCACACAGCAGACAGGTGTGGCTCAGGGTTTTTTTTTATTACTAGATTTGGGCCAGATCTGGCAATGATGTTTTTAAGATAGCATGCCACAACTGGCCCAGTTGGTTTATGTGTTGCTGGCCCATTTGGACCATCTCTGGCAAACCGCATCTGAGCCACGTCATTCTTTGCAGTATCTGAGACAAGTAGTACTTTGTGTGGGCCAGACAAGTGTTGCTACAGTATATGGGAAACCCACAGCAAAGAATAACGTGGCTCAGATATGGTTTGCCAGAGGTGGTCCATGTATGGGCCAGCACCACATATACCAAACCACTGGGACAGTTGTGGTACTGACAGATTTGACCTATATGAACTAAATCACAACTAGGCCAGATGCGGCATGCCATSATATAATTATTATTGGGGATGCACGAAATATTGGCATTAATATCGGTATCGGCCAATATTGGTCATTTTTTTAGAATGCTGTATCGGTCCGATATGTAAAGCTGGGCCAATATTAACGTCCGATATTGATTTCCCACTTTTTATCTTTGTGTTTCTGTTTTGGGAGGGGAGATGGTTGGTTGAGTGGCATCTGTTTGATCATGATAGTGATATTGATGCGGCGTAGCCAGGAATAACTGAAGTAGAGAGCCATGTCAGAGATCTGGTTGTTTATTTACCGTATCAAAAAAAAAGGACACAAATGTGTTTGTGCGTACATTTATATAAATAATTTGTGTGTTTGTGTAATATCAGTAAATATCGGTTATCGGCCATAACAGCAATAATTTTATCGGAAATCGATATCGGCTGAATTTTTCATATTTGCGCATTCCTAATTATTATTATTATTAAGTTTATTTGATAGGGACAGACCCACAACAACATAGACAGACTGAATAAAACAGCAGTCCTATGCCTGTATCATGGTGCTTACAGCGTGAGCTGATTTGCAGCACTTCCCTAGATGGACTTTTATAAACAGTATATCTTGTGCCTAAAAAGTACAGTAAAAAAATTAAAAGTAATATTAATAATATAAACAGTCATACACATAAATCAAAGACACTACAACAAAACATTATAAACATGGCTGAAAAACCAAAACATAAAAAAGCCAAGCACAATCAGAATTTAAGTCATGAAACATTTTAAACATGATTGCAGTGCTGTTTTTAACCCAGCCAGAGTTTTGTTTGTTTTTTAAACATGTCATACCAGGTCACAGACGTTAAATGAACAAAACTACTGAATTTGGCTAGAATATTACAATGTTAAAATCTGATTGGCTTTTGACATAAAATCTTTAAGACCTGATTGTAAAGACTTTTCAGTGGTTTGAATGTTTGGTGAGACTGGGACCAGATCGTAGCTCCATAAGACAGATGTGAGAGAAACATTGAGGTGTCAAACATTTTCTAATGATTTTAAAACAATTTATATTTGATCYAACAGTTTTGCAGATTTTCTCAACGTGACTCTTAAAATTTAACTGAGCATCCAAGATTATTCCTAAATATTTTTCCTGTAATTTTTCTTCAGTTGGAACCCCACTGATTTGAATAATCAAAGGCTGTGATGAAGGTTTCTTAATTGAAAAAAAAAACAGATGCACTTTTTTTCTTAGTATTAAGGGGTTAAACAGGAGTCATTTAGCCACGCCGATATTATCTGCAAATTGCTGTTCAGTTTTTCCCTGACTGTGACGCAGCTTTTACCTGACACGTGAATGACAGTGTCGTCATATGGGATAAATCTTGTGCCAGCAGGAATTGAATTTGAATTGCTCAGATTGAATCTGAATGTAAATAATTTCAAATTGAATGCATTGGTTTGAAAATAAATTTTATTAAATTGAAACTGAATTTAATGATTTGAATTTGAATTAATTTGCTTTCAAACTGTATTTTGGTTTATTAAAAATTCAGTTTGACTACTTTCACTTTCAGTTCCATAATTCAGATTTTTGTGTCACATCCTGGTCCTTGAGAAAGCCAGGCAGAGTAATCAAACACAGATCCACAGATTTATGTTTCACTTTGGTGAAGTTTCCCTTCTGTATGTAACAGAGTTGATGTAATCCACTGTAAAAGTGACAAAAACAGACAAAGTTATTTTATTGCAGAGAATAATGTTACATTTACATCACATCATGGATCAGTCAGCAGCAGCATCTGATCAATATGTGATCCATGATATGGTGTAAATGTAACATTTTCTACATATGGGTAAAATTAATCACTGCAATAAAATAMCCAACGCATTCAATTTGAAATTATGAACATTCAGACTCAATCTGAGCAATTCAAATTAAACTCCTGCTGGCACAAGATTTATCCCATATCGTCAGCATACATTTGTAGATTAGTGCATCATTTCCAGACATGGCCTACAAGCCTTTGGGACAAACCAGTTGCAATGCCAGCAAGTTGAAATATGAAATACTTTTCTGACAGACAAAGAAGACCCCCCCACACACACATTCATGGGGGCAATTAAAGAATAGCCCAACACTATGAGAAGTGGTCAATAATAACCTCATCCTGATTGAGCCCATTTACTACAACATGTTACTGACTATCTGTTTATTTGTTATTGTCGTTCCTGTGTTTGTCAACTTAAGCTCAGTTTGCTGTGGGTGGTACTTGAGTGATTTTTAATTACTTTCATTTCCAAAAGGAAAAGCATGGCGTAGAACGAAAAATGAATGAGTCTGCAGCCTGTCGATAAAACGCTCAGAGCCYGTTGGTTCATCAGACTCATTTCATGTCGTGTGTCAGAGGCAAATTACCTTCGAAGGGAATGGGACAACTTTGTTTTCAATAAGTCAGCGGGTTTGGAGAAAGAAAAAAAAAGTTGAAAGGATGGAAAAGTAACTAGATCCATTTATGTTTGCTATTTCCAGGAAACTGTGTGCAGTTTGAGCGTTACCTGTCTGCTTTCCAGCTTGGATGAGGAGCTGCTGTTGCTGCGTGACAGGGAGGAGATCTTCTGCGACATGGCCGAGCCGTGCTCCTCCGAGCTCATGTTGATGCAGACGGGCCTGTGTGGCCTACAGCCCGACTACCAGGGCCATTCCTCCAGCTGAAGGATAAAAAGATGGAGAGAAAGGCAAGAAGGGCRGTTTGAATAGACGAGTTTAGCGCTCACTGAAGAGCACGAGGCTATTTGAAGTGATTAGTTTTTCCACCTTCGTGCTGCATAAAACAAAGCAATGAGAGAAGCTGCACTCTCAGCCTCAGAGAACAGCCTCTATCGACTGAGGACAGAAACTTGACTGTGGCTGAAGAGACCAGAGCTTTAAATATTTCACAGCAGAGAGTGATGGAGTGTCAGCGTTTGAGATGCTGTAAATCTAAAAGACTCACTTCCATTGGTGTGGGAGGGAGGTCATTATCTWTTCAGACCTGAAGAAAAGCAGCAAACTATTACCTGCTGAAGAGCTCTGAAGTGGTCCATTTAWAAGTTTAGTATTTTAAAAGTATTTAAATCAGGGGTTCCCAAACTTTTTCCTGTAAGGGCCACA